TGTGGACTGAACAAGGATGCTGGTGCTGGCGCTGCTGTTGAAGATGAAGATGCTGAGGCAGAGGAAGCGTCGTCAAGGTCCATCAATAATAGATGATGGAATTGGAGGCAGTGAAAATCAAAAAGGTCAACAGTGCGGCAATGGCAACAAGAGCAATGGCAACAAGAGCAATGGCAACAAGAGGAGGCCGGTGGATATCCAGTCAATCGAGTCAATCGAAGATGGAATTTATGAGCTTTAGAAGGGAGGTACTCGGAGGATTCGCTCGCTCTTCTCGTCGTGGTACAACAACCACACGAGCGATCGGCTTTGAATTCAAACTCGACGACGTTGGTGGATCCTTCGAAGTACTTCAAGCGACAGTTCAAACGACCAACTGCAAGCCAGATAAAACGACCAATGCCAGTCCTAGGTAATTCAGTTCTAGGTAATGATTGAGTCCGTTGATCGGTAACACGGAGCGATCGATCGCTTGTGTTGTTCTTCTCGTACGAGTGCAACAAGGTGTGCATCTCCGACGAGTTAATGAAAAAGTGAGGAGAAATTTGCGAAGATATAAAGCAAGCATGACTCAGCCAATTCGAATCCATAATAAAGGGTGGATTAACTGCCGAAGCACGATTCAAGGCATGACACACAAGCCGAGCCTTATATATGCAGTCAAGCCTCATTTTTCGATGAATTCTGTTAACTCGGCCGATGTTAACTTGGCCGATCGATCGCTCCGTGTTGATGGGATCGGCCAAGGCTTTGTCGGTGATAGAGATAACAATAGTGGCAGTAGAAGCGATAGTAGTAGTGAAAGAAGCAGTACCAGTAGTGGTACCTGCGTCGATTGAGAGAAAGGTGGACTCCAATAGGAGTCCATTGTTTAAAATAAGGTCCTCATCGCGATTTTGAGCAACGACAGGATGAAAGGTGGACTCCTGTAGGAGTCCATGGTTGTGATTGCTTACGAGCGAATCAACAACAATGTTGGCAAGGGGATTGCTTGCGAGCGAATCCAAGGGAATTAAGTTGCAATAAGGGGAAGGACTACCGATGAAGATAATGAGAGGAAACTCAGGACTCTGCATCAAGGGATAGCTCATTCCATTGACAACCATAAGGGATAGACATATAAGAATAAGAATGAGTAACATCTCATAACCTCGCATGCTACCATGCGACAATACCATTGTGGATTGATTAATCTAACGATCTAAGAGATGTAAAGTCTGTATTTCCAAATAAGTGAGCAGTTATTGATTATTTTCTAGAATAAGCCTGCTAATTGTAAAGCTGTAAAGCTGAATTGTAAGCTGTATCCCGTCGCAAGTACCAGATGTTGTATCGGTAGAACACAGGAGTATAGCTGGGGTTATCCAAGCTCTGACTACAGACAGTTTTGCTCTTACAGAAATTCTACCAGACATGACGTATACATATACCCACAGTGGATCACTACCGGTACCGATACCCCAATGCTGAATCAGAAACGAACCATGGCAACATCCGCATCAGCCGTCACACCCAAGGAGGAACCAAGAATAGGAAAGGATCCGAAAGTGCCCAATAATAAGATTCTGCAAATTCCCATTGGATCGCTTTCACCAGAGCAATGGCAGGCTGCTGTCACTACTCAAGAAGATCCAACCACTCACTACTCGTTTCCACTGCTAGGACGTCTCGTCCAGGAATACCAACACAATCCACAATTCGCAGGATCCCAAAAACATCTCACCGATTTGCAGACCATGCTGAGGCACGTCAGTCTGAGTTGGGAACAGAAATGGGCCAACCAATCAAGACAAACATCATCATCTTCTTCTTTGTGGACTCCGGACAAGGTCCTGTCCTTTCTGCAAGACTGTGAACGAGACCTTCCAGAGCTTGCACCCGACTTACGCACCTACAATGCCATTATGAATGGATGGTTGGCTCAAACTACAATATCAACCACAAACAACCTTGCTCCACAGCAGTGCGTCAAACGGGTAGAACAGTTGATGCCGTTTCTGTGGGAACGATTTCCACAACAGCTCGATACCCGAACCTATGAGATTATCATACAAATATACAGCCGTGCCGGACGCTTTCCGCAGATTTGCAATGTCTTGGATCAAATACTGCAACTGCACAGCAACAAAAACAAAAAGAAGACACCAGTTCCACTTCGGTTCCAGCAACCCGTCTTTGATCAGACGCTGATGGACTGTGTCAACGGAGGCCATCGCCGTGCCGGATTCACGGCCGAAACCATTCTCGAAAAATTCAATCACATGTATCACGCCGGATTGCTGGGATTCCGCCCGCACGTTGCGACCAGCTACACCATGGTCATTATGGCATGGGCCAAGTCGGGACATCCCGAGGCGGGAAACAGGGCCATGGCAATCTTGGACGAATTGACGCGGCGTAGTGCGAGTGATCCCATCATGACACCCTCCGCGCACACGTACAGTGCCGCGCTGCATGCCTGGGCCAGATTGGGAAATGCCAATCAAGCCGACGAATTGTTGGATCGAATGTTTCAAGTATACGACGACCACAACAACAAGAACCACAACAACAAGAAGAAGGCCATAAAACCAGAACTGATCAGTTTCAATAACGTGTTGGATGCCTATGCCAAATCCGGACTGAAAGACGCGGGTATCCGATCGGAACGGCGGCTACGGCAAATGTGGGACTTACACGACCAGGGAATTTTGGACAATATCAAACCGGACTGTGGCAGCTATAATTGTGCCATTACCGCATGGGCCAACTCGGGCCATCCCGATGCCGGTGAACGGGCGGAACTGCTGTTTGAGGAAGCAATCCAACGATCGGCGACAGATAGCACGCTTCGACCAGACATTATGCAATACACCAGCCTCATCAATGCACTCGTCAAAACCAAAAAGTTGGATCGAGCGACGATGGTTCTGGGAAGAATGTGTGCCGACTACCAGAATGGGAGGGAAGATTTGGTGCCCAGTGTGATTCCATTCAATGCGGTGTTGCATGGGTTTGCGCAGGTCGAAGGGAGAGATGCGGGCCACAAAGCAGAAGCGTTTTTGAGAAAAATGCAGCACTCCAATTTCGCGTCGGTTGCGCCAGATATGATTAGCTACAGCAGTGTCATTGATGCTTGGGCCAAGTCTGGCCACCCCCAGGCAGGCATCAAGGCAGAAGCGCTCCTCAATGAATTGGAAACGAAAGCTAGCACCGATCCTGCCATGAGACCAGATATTGAGATATTCTGCGCGGTGATTGATGCATGGGCCAAGTCTGGACATAAGGCTGCCGGCTACAAGGCCGATCACTTTTTGAGGATGGTGGAAACTCGGCACGAGCAGAATCTTTCCAAACGTCCCAGTATGCGATTGTACACGTGTGTGGTTGATGCTTGGGCAAAGTCAAGCCAACGCGATGCCGGGGCAAGAGCCGAACGCATATTGAGGGAGCTGGAGGAAAAGTCTGCCGGCAATCCAGACCTAATGCCCACTGTGATGATGTATAACTCGACAATGAACGCATGGGCAAGATCTGGGCAAAATAATGCTGGATTCAAAGCTGAAGAGCTATTGATGGAAATGATCAACAAGTCAAAGCAGAGACCCAACCTCAAACCCAATCTTCATGCATATACCTCTGCAATTGATGCATGGGCAAAGTCAGGAAATGTCAATGCGGGAGAGAAAGCCAACAGCATTTTGAACGCTTTAATTGCTGAATCGAGACACGACTTTGATTTACTTCCGACCGCCGAAGTGTATACCTCCGCTATTGATGCGTGGGCAAGAATGGTGCAAGCCAATTCCGGCGAGAGAGCAGAAGAGCTACTTCGGCAATTTGAGACAATGACACTGGATCACCCAGAATTGGCAAACACCACGGCAATTGACTCATTGTACAACTCTGCGATCAATGCCTGGGCAAAGTCTGGGGATCCAAATGCAGGAGATAAGGCAGAGGAGCTTCTGAACGAGCTGGAAGCCAAATCCAGAAGCAACCCAAGGTCGAGGATGCGACCAGGCGTGGAAGTGTACACGTCTACAGTGAATGCCTGGGCAAGATCTGGTTTGGAGATTTCCGGTGAAAAGGCAGAGAAGCTCTTGCTTCACATGGAAGCCAAGTCAAAACAGAATCCCAGAATACAGCCAAACATCAGAACCTACACCGCCGCGCTCAATGCCTGGGCGAGGTCAGGTCATCCGGAGGCTGGAACTAGGGCAGAGAAGCTCTTACGGAGGCTGGTGACAAACTCTCAAAATGGCCAGCCGATAGCACTCAAAGCAGCAGTGTACAACTCCGTGATCAATGCATGGGCCAAACAAGGCAACGCAGAGAGATGCGAAGCTCTTCTAGAAGAGATGGTTTTTGGCGGTACAACGCCGCCTGACGTGATTTCGTTTGGAGCGGTGCTGGATGGGCTAGCCAGGTCAGGCAATGCCAACGCTGGGGAGAAGGCCGACAAATGTCTCGACATGATGATGACACTCCACAGCCAAGGTGTACCGAATGTGAAACCCAACGTTGTCTGCTATAAAATGGCTCGTCGGTGTTGGCAACAGAGCACAAACAGTGCCTACGCAAGGAGACGTATCGTAGAGTTGAACAACATCATGGGGCAGAATCAAGGTGCTCGTGTCCAGCGGTGAAGAAAATCCTGATTGAATGATTCAATCATTCCTTCACGAATTTGTTGAAGGGCGACGGCGACAAAATGGCTTTCAGAGAGGTCACGCAACTTTTGGGATGGCGCGGAGATCCTTTTGCTTGCAGAGGCAGGCAGAACGATACTGTAGCTAGCTTTTTCGAAGCAAGGCCAGTTGAATTTCGGGAGGCGCGTGCTGCACCCCAAACACCGCGAAGAGGGAGGACCGAGGGTCCGTAAGGGCGTTGACACTGGTAATGACGAAGCCAGTGATACCGGTAGCTTCTGATTCGTTTCCTAGCGTGCGCTGAACAAAAGCAACCAGACATTGCCTTTCTTTTAAAATAAGTGCCGGCACTACTGGCCGCTATGAAGCTCTCTACGAAACAGCAGCAACTGTGTATCGGGATGGTGAAGGCCCGATCCGAAAAGGGTATCATAGTAGTTACTACACTGGTAATGACGAGTGCAGTGGTACCGGTAATGCATGCATGCATGCATACATACCGTGCAGGTACAGTACCGGCGTGAATGGTAACGGCGTCTAAACTCGGTACCGGTACTGCTGACTCAGGGGAAGTGCTGTTTTCTATCGCTTGGTACCGGTGCTGTACATCTGCTAAAAGGACTCGTCACTCCATCGTCGACCACCACACACCACGGCTACTGTACCGGTACCACCGCATGAATTATTGCTCTATTGCTTCAGTAAGATAATATGTGCGAAGACTTTCTTCTCCGAGCTTTTCTTCGCCGATAAATCCTAATGGACCAGCCATGCATAGAGTTTCAGTTGCTTCAACGCGAAGTACACTAAGTCTTACATGTATTGCTTCCGAACACAGAAATCACACTTTCTTCGCGGAGACAACAATAATTATGATTTACTCCGCTTTTATTATACTCCTCGTAGAAAACCATCACAACTAAATCCGAGTTGTGAAAGAAGCACGCACAGCTACAAAAACAACGGAAAGTGAGTCCTGTCAAGACTGAGATGCTGTAATTTTAATTATTTTTAAAATTAGTAGACTTTAATTTCAAATTGAGCCCACCAGGCGATCGCCAGCGATCGCCAGCGATCTCTGGCGATCGCCAAGATGCTTTGTGGGACTCAATTTGAAATCAAAATTGAGTTTGAAATTGAGTCCCCCAAGAATGTTGCCAGTGTTGCCGGCAACACTGGCAACGTTGCCAGCAACGTTGCCGGCAACACTGGCAACGTTGCCGGCAACACTTGGCTCAAAAGTAGGGGCACTGATCGCATCAGTGTCAAAGTACTGTACAAGTGAACTTTTTCAGCTGGTTTAGACCAGTGAAAGGGCTTTTTTGGTAAAAACTTTGTTCGAGCACTCGAGAATTAAACAGCTGCCGAATGAATGATTGAATCATTCATTCGGGATTCAATCGGCATGCTCAACAGCTCTCACACTTACTTTCGGATCCGCCGCTTCGCAGCAACTCAACGAAAAGGGAGGCCAAGAACCAGACAGCAATCTATCGCTGGGGATCCATCCAAGTCTGTTCTCACAACGAGAACAACTCTGACTCTCGCAACGCGAGCTAGCTATAGCTCCAGCGTACTGGCACCCGCTACAGCCATGAAATTCTTGTTCCGGTCCATCAAAACCATGCGGGATACCGAAAGTCGAAATGCACCTCTGTCTGCTGCGTCCACGACGAGAAGCCTCGAAGTCCACGTCGGATGGAACTGCTTTGGCACAATCGGTACGTCTTCTGGAGAGTTCCTGATGCAATCGTCATCAACTTTTTCCTTGGACAGCATCAGTTTTCTAGGCGACGACGACGACATTGAGCCTCTCACGCCCGAGGAGATCAGTCGCGATCTTCAGCTCTACCAATCCCTACAGAATGACAAGAAGGTCGTTTCCATTGACATGACCAGAGTCCATTGCTTCACCAACAAACGATCTGTCATGGTGGGGTTGCAGATAGTCTATGCAGTTGGCTACTGCAATGGCAAGCTTGTGGAAGTTGCCAGTGACTGCCACAATCCCCAAAATATGGGTATCCAACGCTCAACTCTCGAACTAGAAGTGGGGGAGTACGTGGTGAATGCCCGTGTTCGATACGGCATCCTTCGCAGTGCTGCCGCTGGAATACAAGACAGAGTCGTCAAGGGCATTACATTGGCTACACAACGAGGGCGTGTGGCGAATCTGGGAGGGCAGCCAAAGAAGGATATTCCAGTGATGACACAGCAGGCCTACTTGGGGAAGAAAGTGATTGTGCTAGTTACGCGCAAGTCTAGTGATGATCCGAAAAGCTTGGCTTCGGATGTAGCGTTTTACACAGAACCGATTGCGGATACAGAGAACTCTGCCATCGCACCGTTAAAAAGGCGGACCTTCACCTTGCATGATCGGAGCGGCCGGCACAGATTGTCACAGGACACTCCACTCACAGATGCTCAGGATCGCTTGCAGCACTGCTGTCCAGCGGTCCCATCCAAGGATTGTGCGTTTGGAGATCTAGACTTTTATCAGCGTCTGCTCCTCCAACGGCAACAGGGACACCATCCAGTCAAGGTGGAACTGAAGCGTATCAAATGCTTCTACAGGCACAACCATTCTATAGTGGGGGTGTTTGGAGTGTACCGGTCCGCCTTTGCGAATGACAAAGCCGTCGAGAGCCAATCTATCGACTACGAACAACACGCCAACCTTTGGAAACATCACCACGACGTCCAACTGGCTTCGATGATGCTCTGGCCTGACGAATTCGCTGTCGACCTGCAAGTCCGCCAGGAAAGGGGTGTTTTGACCATCGTTACAAGTCAACGAACAGTCTCCTTGGGCTCCTCGGAAACCACAAAAAGAATGGAACGCCCATGCTATGAGGACAAGAAGCTCGGTGATTTTCATCACCGAGTTGTTGCACTCGCTGGGATTCGGGTCACCAACTCTCCCGGATTTCCTTCGTCGCAGAGTCCCGGGGTTGGGAGATTGCTCGTCCCTTGGTCACGACTCGGGCATTGCTGAGCCAGGGACGAGCAGAACCGTCGAAAGTATTTGCTGTCCAACCACAAGAGCGTCGTTCTCGTCAGTCTTGTGTCATTCGCACGACGAAACGCCGTTCTTGGAATCGAAGACCAAAACATGCCACGAGGGAACGAACTGATATCACAGCTTCCAATCAATCACGGGATCACCACGTATTGCAGAGATTAATCGCAGAGACAAATGACGAAATTTTTGATGTAGTCCTTTCCTTTCTGGCCCCCTACTAGTAGGAATGTGGCACCTTTTCTAAAGCACACTAAAGATGTTGGCGTTCCTAAGTGATTGTATTGCGTTTTATTACTCGCCGAAGAGTCAGCTGCTGGTAGGAAACAAAGCAATCATGGCATTGGAGCTACTGTAGGAGACTTGCTTGGTGCTGTACTTGGGATGTTGCTTGGAGCTGTACTTGGGATTTTGCTTGGGACTGTACTTGGGTTGTTGCTTGGAGCTGTGCTTGGATTGCTGCTGGGCATTGCAGATGGGAAATGAAAGCAGATAAAACAAAGTGGGGTGACAGGACTGAGGCCCAGGTTTGGCGAACTTTGACTTTCACAGAGGGGAGCATCAAGGAACATGTCTTCGACATCTGCTGTTGATTTCATGTTGGGTCCCCAACTGCATAGATCTTGATTAAACTTTGAAGCACTTTTGAAGGCAAAGTGAAATTTTTCAACCTTTGATATTGACCACCCAGAAAGGTCCTAGCATAGTTGAAACAAAATATAATCCAAGTGGCATGAGTCACTGGGATGATTTCCTTATGGCCGGATCATTTGCACGTACCTGGTTGAATTCCCGTGCTCCCCGAAACATTGTTCGCATCGAAGTGAGGTTGGGAGTACTCCATCCCGTGATGTCTTGGTTGAAGGCAGTGTTCTGGTCAAACATGCTGTGATCGCGTGTGATGCATTTATCATTAGCCTGGATTGAACCACAAAGGAACAAAGCATGATTCGATTCACTTACTAGCCAAAGTTTACAGCACTGCTCATATCCCATTTTGCGAGCGGCTGGTTGAAGGGTGTGGTATCAAACACTCTTTGGAATCCCCTGGATTTTGAGACATCCCAATTTTGAACATCTCGATTAAACGCTGAATTCTGATTTTTAAAAAAATGGGGTTTAGTCAAGGACACGGACTGCACGTCTTTTGAGCGCAGTAGTATGTACCTGAAAACTGTGGAAGTTGGGAGTACAATAGGAATAAGACAGCAACAGATAATAAGCTTGAGATTGCGCGGTTCGGAAGGAAAGAAAGCCAAAGATCAGAAACTCACAGCCTTCCCATCCCTGTCACACGGCTCACATCCCATGTTGAAACATCGCCGTTGAAGACGGTGGCATCACGGAACCTAACACACCAAGAAAGGGATAAGCAATGGCAGCAATGGTAGAAGTTAAGTGGGAGTGAAATCAAAACAAACGACGTACATTGCAGACAAAGAATCAGTCTTGCTGACATCCCATTGATTCAGGTCCTGATTGAAGGCTTTTGCTCCATAAAAACAAGACTGGTCGGTGAACCAAATTAGATATGAGATAGATGCACAACAACAACAAGCATAACCAAGGAGAGAGGTTCAAAAGCCTTACGCCAAAGTCAATGACTGCACTAGTATCCCAGCCACCAATATTTTCATTGAAGACTTTGTACCCTGGGAAACCACCAGCTGCAGAAAAAACATTATTGAGAGAGGTCACACGAGTGATATCCCATGATTCGATAGGCCCATAGATTGAATTTGCACTGTAGTCGCCTAATTTCAATGCTCCAATAAGTTCGTCTCTGTCATTGATAACTGCATCAAGAAACAGACAGAAGATGAGCTGAAAGGTTTTGCACAATGAGACAAACCCAACACCATCATTCAGAATTACCTGAATAGGTTGGGGCCATGGTAGGACTGGGAGTTGGCAATCTTGTTGGAGATTTTGTAGGAGTCTTGGTGGGTGACTGTGAAGGAGATACTGATGGTGAAGCACTGGGCACTGCTGTCGGGGCACAAAAATGACACAGTGGCGTGATAATGCTCCCACTTGTGGCAGGGTCTGCTTGAGATTCACATCCTGTTGCACCTAAGAACATATCTGCAACTTTGGCACCTGAGGTCATTCCTGACCAAGCACAGAGGTTCTGATTCATTGCTGTGGCATCATCAAACATGGCTTGAAAATTAGTGACACTGGAAATGTCCCAACCAGCGACATCTTGGTTGAAAGCAGCATTCCTTTCAAACATGCTGGGGATCAGAGAAAGCGGTCTCGAGTTAATTAGCAAGCCACCAACTGCAGCAAGAGTTTGATATAATGATTCACTCACAAGGCAAAATTTTTGGCATTTGTGGTTGTCCACATTCCAAGAGGCTGATTGAAAGGTGTTCTCTGGAAAAATCTCACGAAGCTTGTCACAACAGACACATCCCATCCACTCAGATTTCGGTTGAAACTGGTCAACTAAAGGGGCACAGAGAATTGAACAAAATAACACTAAGAAAGGAAGAGTAAACATGAACGGAAGGAGAAATATTTTTCTCATACCTGAAACCTGAAAGTTGCAAAACATGCGACATAGAACAAGAGATGAGTGTAAAGGCAATGTCTTATCATTGGGAGAACCAACTAAGCCACATACATTGTGGCCATGGAAGTAACCTTGCGAACATCCCACGTCGAAACATCTCCATTGAAAGCAGTTGCTCCACGAAACATTCCCTCAAGGGAGTCTGTTCTACTGACGTCCCATCGATCCAGCTCCTGGTTGAAGACTTTTGCTTCATGGAAGCAATCCTTACGTAAGGATTGCATGTTTTAAAACATGTCATGTGAGATTGTACTTTGCACAATAGTCAGAGGATACCACCATTTCTTACCACAAAGTTGGTAACAGAAGAGGTGTCCCAGCCCCCAATATCCCGATTAAAGGAAGAGTATCCCGTGAAGCCTCCAGACTGGCCAAATACGCTTGCAAGAGAGGTCACACGAGTAATATCCCACGATTCGATTGGACCATACACACAAGTTGGACTGTAATCGCCAGCATTGAGAGCAGCAACCAGCTCATCTCTGTTTTTGATGACTGGACCAAAACATCATCGTGAGACCAAGAATGCATAAAGGATAAAACACAACAAAATCTTTATAACGGATATGGCCCCAATGGACGGATCATCACTGTGCTGCAGCCGAAGCTTTGCATAAAGGATAGGACTGACACATCAAACTTACCTTTGTGCGATGGGGCCGATGAAGGCACAGGTGTTGGCATTCTGGTTGGGGCCATGGTGGGAGCTACGGTTGGTGACTTTGTAGGTGAAATAGTTGGTGATCTTGTCGGAGATACTGTTGGGGATTTGCTTGGAGCACTGCTTGGTATTTCGCTTGGAGCACTTGTTGGAGTCCCAGTTGTCGGACTGGCTGTTGTGGGGCTGGCACTGGGCGCACCAGGAGTAGAAGTTGGAATGGGAGTGGGAGCTTTTGTTGGGATGGCTGTGGGCATTTTGCTGGGCTCGGCAGTGGGTATTGTGCTTGGGTTGTTTGTGGGCCCACCAGAAGGTACAGTTGATGGCAATCTCGTGGGGCTCCTAGTTGGATTAAGGGTTGGAAAACTTGTAGGAAACACAATGGGAGGTAGTGTTGGTGTCTTGGTTGGTGATTTGCTGGGGTTTGATGTTGTGGGTGCTCGTGATGGAGTCTTTGTCGGAGACGGTGTCGGGACCCTAGTTGGTGCTCTAGTTGGGCTAACACTTGGAGAGCCAAGAGAAGCAGTGGGTACAGCTGTGGTTGGCTGCCGCGTTGGAAACATGGTTGGCTGACTTGTTGTTGGCTCAGAGGTTGGGATACTTGTAGGAAGCATACTGGGGCTCAGAGTTGGTGTTTTCGTTGGTGATTTGCTGGGGGTTGATGTTGCAGGTGATTTTGACGGCCTCTTTGACGGGGTCTGTGTAGGTACTGTAGTTGGTGCTCTAGTTGGGCTAACACTCGGAGAGCCAGGAGAAGCAGTGGGCACTGCTGTGGTTGGTTGCCTCGTTGGTAACATGGTTGGCTGATTTGTGGGAACGCTGGTAGGCTGACCAGTTGGGCTCTTTGTAGGGGGCCCAGTGGGGAGGCCCGTAGGTGGATAACTTGGTGTTCTTGTGGGGGTCCCTGATGTTGGACTTCCTGTTGTTGGTAGAGCACTGGGAGAGCCAATGGAGCCTGTAGGGATGGGAGTAGGAGACACAGTAGGGATTTCTGTTGGGTGGTTGGTTGGATGAGTTGTGGGAGGCCCCGAGGGATGGATAGTTGGTGGGGTGGTGGGCTGACTGCTCGGTTGACTTGTTGGGATTCTGGTTGGAGAATTCGATGGTACAAAACTTGGGGATACTGTTGTGAGGCTTGTGGTTGTTGGAGACGCACTGGGTGCACCAGGGGAGACAGTTGGGATAAAAGTGGACAGTTTAGTTGGAAGGTCAGTGGGGGGAGTGGTTGGTTGTCTTGTTGGAAACTTCGAAGGTTGATTTGTATGTGAATATGTTGGCCGCTCTGTCGGTTGCCTTGTTGGTTGTTCTCTTGGAGGTTCAGTTGGTGATTTTGAGGTTGGACCGATAGTAGGCTGAGCAGTTGGTAGGCCAGAGGGTTGATCAGTTGGTGCACCGGTGGGAGTTCCATTGGTTGGGGTTTCACTTGGGGCACCTGGCGTAATCGTTGGCAGGGGTGTCGATCTAATTGTTGGCTGGCTGGTTGGAGCTTTGGTGGGATGATGTGTTGGCTGGGTTGAGGGAGGACGAGTTGGTGACCTTGTGACAAGTGTGGTACTGAACCTTATAGCGGTAGAAGTGCTGCCCCCCATCCCTGCTGTAAATTCCTGAAGAAATTGTGCAATATCATTCTCTTCTGTTATGATTGAGTCAAACTTTGTTTGCCTTGACTTGACCAAAAACTCAACCTGCACCCCCAACTGCAGGTGTCTTTCCACAATCCTGGGAGAGTCAGTATCGACT